CAAGTGTTTCTACATGGAAATATCATGCTAATTGAAATGAGCCAGAAAGAGAGGGACAGACATAGAAAGACTGCACTCATCTGGAGAATATAAAGTAACAGAATGGGAGTTGAACGCCCAAGAATAGTTGAGATAAGTACCAGGAGGTCTGTTCCACGGCTTGGAAGTCAGCAGCACATGCTGGGGGGAAAGGCAGCTCAGATAGGGAAGGGAACACCAAATAAAGGATGTTTGGAGGATTCATTCGGGATGCTAGATGTGTGCTCAAAGTAGACTATAGACCAAATATGATGGCCACTCAATGCCTCTATTGCAAACTACAACACCATAAAGAAAAGAGTGAGCAAAAGGGAATGCCCTGTCACAGAGGCGGGGTGGGGGTGGGGGGATAGGGTGGGGGGTGGGAGGGCTACTGGAATCATTGGTGGTGGAGAATGGGCACTGGTGGAGGGATGGGTGGATGGATGGATGGATGGATGGATGGATGGATGGATGGATGATTGTATAACTGAAACCCAAGCACGAAAGTTAGTCTACAACTGTACCTCATGGTGTTTCACTAACAAAAAATTAAAAATAACTAACTAAATAAAACATTTTGGTAAGGACTAAAAAAAAATGAACTATAGGCGCAAAAAAAGAAGAAAAAAATTTTTTAAAAGAAAAAGAAATGGTTCCACAAAAGATAAATATACTCTCACACTCACTGTGGATTTACAGCAGCGAAGATATGTAAACAACCCACGTATTTGTAAATGAATTAATGTACAAAGAAAAATGTTATGATACCTATAACCATATATAACAAATGCATAGCAAAATGAACACAAAGATATTAAGAACAGTGGCTACCATAGGAAGGATGAGGGGAGGTGGGAAAATGAGAGAAAGTGGTCAGAAATGTTTAATTGTAACTCATAGGAGTAACCTATAGCATGATCACTATGGTTAATAGTGTTGAAAGCTAAGTAGTTCTTTTTTGGGGTATCAAAAATATTTTTAAATTTATTTTTCATACTAAATCACCATGAGATACAGTTACGAAGTTGTTCATGACTAAGTTTCAGTCATACAATGTCCACAACCATCCCTTCACCAGTGTACATTTCCCACCACCAATGGCCCCAGGTTCCCTCCTTCTGTTCCCCACCCCAAGTCTTCCTCTTATGGCAGGTACGCTAAGTCGTTCTTGGGAGTGGAACGATAAGTACAGAGGTTAAGGTGCTTGTCTCGCATGCAACTGGTCTCGATTTTATGTTGAGTCACTCTTGATTGAATGTAATCAATGTAACCAATGACCACATCTGGTCCCCCGAGCATCATCCAGAGTCACTCCTGAGTACAGAGCTAGAAACACATCTTGAGCACCATTGGGTGTGCCTCCACTCCAAAAGAGAACAAAAGTAGTTCTCTCTCTCGCTCTCTTTTTTAATTTCAGGCATCATAGTTTGTAATACTGTTAACAGAAGGGTTTCATGCATTACACAATACAGCACCCTACCCCCTTCCCCAGTGTTCACTTCCCTCCACTATTGTACAAATTGTTCCCACCCTCACCATAATCCACCCATCCCTCCTCTGTGGTAAGCTTCCTACTGAAAACTAGCTTTTGGTTTCTGTTGCTTTTAGGTATTTGTTATACGCTGACTTTGTTTGTTCATATGAGAGGGATCGTATAAGAGGGTTCATTCTGTGTGTATCTCCTAACTAACTTCACTCAGCCTGACACTCTTCACATCCATTTATGTAGAAATTATATGATTCCGTCTTTTCTTAGAGCCACTGTGTATATGCACTATGGGTCTTGCTTTTTTGCTGGTTTTTTTGTTTTGTTTTGTTTTTTTGTTTTTTTTTCTTTTTGCGTCACACCCGGTGATGCACAAGGGTTCCTCCTGGCTCTGCACTCAGAAATTACTCCTGGCGGTGCTCGGGGGACCATATGGGATGTTGGGAATCGAACCTGGGTTGGCCTCATGCAAGGCAAATGCCCTACCCACTGTGACAACATGTTTGTTTGTGTTTTTTTTTTCATGCATTTATCTGTTCTTGAACACTTTGGTTGTTCCTGGATTTTGGCTAGTGTGAATAGTGCTGCAGTGAACATACGAGTGCAAATTCTTTTCTGAATAAGGATTCCCGGGGTCTTAGAATCAATTTTTTTTAAAAGGCACTGGAATGATGAGCTGGAGCGATAGCACAGCGGTAGGGCGCTTGCCTTACAAGCGGCCAACATGGCCGACTTGAGTTCGATTCTTCCACCCTCTTGGAGAGCCCAGCAAGCTACCGAGAGTATCTCGCTCCCACAGCAGAGCCTGGCAAGCTCCCCCTGACGTATTCGATATGCCAAACACAGTAACAACAAAGTCTCCAATGGAGACGTTACTGGGCCCGCTCGAGCAAATCGATGAACAACGGGAGGACCATGACCGTGATCGTGGAATAATGGATGTAAAATAAGGGGAGCAATCATCTCAGCAGTGCTCATGAATGCAATATGCTAAGGGGAGGAGTATATAGGACTTAATTTATTTTTCAAAATGTCTTTTTGGTTGAGGCAACATGTTTTACAATGCGTTAGGCATACATGGCAACTGTACCACACACCCACTGCCAGAGCACATGGAACTAATTTAAATCACATATTGTGGGCTGGAGCACAGCGGGTAGGGCATTTGCCTTGCATGCAACGAACCCAGGTTCGATTCCTCCATCCCTCTCAGAAAGCCCGGCAAGCTACCTAGAGTCTGGCAAACTCCCCGTGGGGTATTCAATATGCCAAAAACAGTAACAACAAGTCTCACAATAGAGACGTTACTGGTGCCCACTCGAGCAAATCGATGCACAACGGGACGACAGTGCTACAGTGCTACATCGTGCACCTACATGGGGATGTCTCTTAGTATTCTTCATACCTTACACATATAATCACTGTCACTGTCCTCTTGTTGTTCATCGATTTGCTCCAGCGGGCCCAGTAACGTCTCCACTGTGAGACTTGTTGTTACTGTGTTTGGCATATCGAATACGCCACGGGGAGCTTGCCAGGCTTTGCCATGCGGGCGCGATACTCTTGGTAGCTTGCCAGGCTCTCCGAGAGGGGCTGAGGAATCGAACTCGGGTCGGCCATGTCGGCCACAAGCAAGGCAAATGCCCTGCCTCTATGCTATCAACACACACACACACACATATAATATTCTTTCACATATACTCATACTCAACATATAATAATTTTCAAAGACCTATTTTTCAAAAGCACTCATGAACTACCGAACAAAACCTGAATCCTGATTTCAGCTTTTATTTCAGAATGACTTCGGGTAACTTCCTTAATTATTTTGAATATCCATTTTGTTTCCTTTGGTTTTCCTCTCTCATCATCATCAATGAAGTGATGGCTAACATCAGTGACGTCAGTGTTGTTTAGAGGAACCAGTGGCTGAAAAGCTAACCACATAGGAGACAATGAGGTCTATTTTTAAAATTCCCAGTAAGCCTTAGTTTTCCTCTTTCTCTCAAAATTGAGATCTCAGTGGGGAGGCAGAACAAAGGAAGCAGTACTTACTATGAAGACATCAGAAGAAAAAGTGGAACCCTAAGACAGAATGGAGAACATATCAGCATAAGCAGTCTCCTTCTGTCCAGTTTCTCTGCCTTTTTAAGATATAGGGTTTTTTTAAATAATTTAAATAGATTTAATGAACATTAAATGAATACTTAATTCTACTTCTTACACATCTAAATCTGTGGACCTAGATTTGTATTTTCTTTGTTAATAAGGCAGTAAATAAATGAATGAATTAAGTAAATGAGTTTAAAGCATTAATAAATAATGCAGTAAATTTAACAAGGTAAACGTATTTTTTAATTTAATTTTTTTTATTAGTGAAACACCACGAGGTACAGTTATAGACTTACAAATTTTTGTGCTTGGGTTTCAGTTATACAATGATCTAGTACCCATCCCTCCACCAGTGCCCATCCTCCACCACCACGGGTCCCAGCATCCCTCCCACCCCCCACCCCCCCATCCCACCCTGCCTCTGTGGCAGGTCATTCCCTTTTATTCTCTCTCTCTCTCTTCTTTTGGGTTCTGTGGTTTGCAAGAGAGGCAATGGGTGACAATCATGTTTAGTCTATAGTCTACTTTCAGCATGCTTCTCCCGTCCTGGGAGGATCCTCCCAACACCCTTTATTTGGTGTTCTATAGGTTTTTTTTTTAATTAAAAAATTTTAAAAATATTTTTTGCTTTTTTGGGTCATACCTTGTGATGCTCAGGGGTTACTCCTGGCTCTGCATTCAGGAATTACTCCTGGCAGTACTCAGGGGACCATATGGAATCCCAGGGATCAAACCTAGGTCAGCTGCATGCAAAACAAACGCCCTACTCAAGGTACTATTGCTTGGGCCCTATAGTTTTAATTTTTCTTTATTCTTATTATGACTTTAGTTGAAATAATATGCTTACAATATGGGATAGTGGTGGAGGGGTTCTGGAATCACCAGTGTAGTTGCTCTGCAATTACAAAATAATGACTGCAATATGATTGTAAATGATAAAATCCCCATCATAAAATTTAAAAAAAAACCACACATACAAAAGAGAGAAAAAAAAATAGAAGAAAAAGGAAAAGCACAAACATCTTCTTCCAGAAATGTTCTTGGATGCTCACTCAGAACTATTCCAGGACACTGCTGGCATGGCTCTAAAGACACAGTGCCAAATAAAAGATATCGTGGCAACATCTACACCCAGGAGCTTCTCATACATAAAAGACCTGTGAGATGGAGGCCTTGCAGGTCTGATTGCAGGCATTACACTCTGCAACGTCCTCTCTAGAACCAACCAGATGGCGGCTCTGCCAACCACTCTGTCCTTCCCACACCATTGCCTCATCCCTCATCAAAGGGGCTCTTGTTATAGCCATCATCCCTAGTCCTGGGTCCCCAAGTCTTTCATGGTGAGCACTTGACTTGCCCGGTGAAACTCAAGGACTCTTACCTTCACAGATGTGATGTTTTGTTTCTTTCTCCCTCTCAAAACTGGGAAGGATGACAGAGAGTATTTTTTTGTCTTTCTAGTATCCATTTCAATCCTGTGGGAGAGAGAGCCAAAAATCAATGGGAAGGCTGGGCAGATATCTAAGTGAGGGAAAAAATGCTTTGTGTGTTCAAGGTCCTGCGTTCAATGCTTAGTACTGTATGATTCATCCACCCCAGCACCCATCAAGTATGGCCTGGGCAGGGAAGGGGGACCCTCCAAGCACTATGAGGCACAAAGATTGCTTTATGTGACCCCTACAACAATTAAGTTAAAACTTGGCAGTACGAGGCTGGAGTGATAGCACAGCGGGTAAGGCGTTTGCCTTGCACGCAGCCAACATATGATCCCCTGAGCACCGTCAGGAGCAATTCCTGAGTGCATGAGCCAGGAGTAACCCCTGAGCATCGCCGGGTGTGACCTAAAAAGCAAAAAGCAAAAAAAAAAAACAAAACTTGGCAGTAAGGGGCTGGAGCGATAGCACAGAGGGTAGGGCATTTGCCTTGCACGCAACCGAACTGGGTTCGATTCCCAGCATCCCCTATGGTCCCCCGAGCACCACCAGGAGCATTTTCTGAGTGCATGAGCCAAGAGTAAGCCCTGTGCATTGCCAAGTGTGACCCAAAAAAGCAAAAAAAAAAATTGGTAGTAGGAATAAAATGTAAGTACAAATACTCCAGCTTTTACACCAGTTTTCCCCCACAAGCGGCTCTCCAGCACGGTCACGGCCCCAGAAGCACAAGGACTTAATGCAGAACCCGGCAGCTTGGAGCAGAAAAGTGAACGGACTATGCGTTAATCCAGGCCATCAGGTCTGTCCGGAGGGGAAAGGGTGTTGCCCCAGTCGCCTTCTCCTCTCTGGAAAGAAAGATGGCGGCCGCATGGGAGCCTTGTGGACAGCAGGTATGAGCCGGGGGACTGGGGGCGACTAAAACCTCATGGGAAGGGGGGCGTTTCGGTCCGCCCTTCATGCCCTACCGAGGCCACCAGTTGCCCCCCACTAGCGGCTCTCCAGCACGGCCACGTCTCCAGAGCACAGAAACCAATTTCTTAACTATCTGACTTTCAGTAGAAATACTTCCAGGGTCAATAAGTAAAATAGCAGAAATCCAAAACCAACATATAATTCTTGAACCCAGCTGTAGAAAGCAAATCACTTCACAATGCTTTTTCAGCATGTCTGATTTGCGGGGGGGGGGGGGGGGCGGTAAACTCTAAATAATAGTGGTGAATCTTTTATTGAAACAATGAATCTAATCAAAGCAGATAGAGTGTTAACTAGAATTCATCTGCCCCACAGGGACTGGGAGGGGTGGGGGGTGGGGTTTTATTGGGGTTCTTCATGGTAAAAAATAAGTTTTGGTAAAGGGAAATGTGTTTGATATTTGCATGACTGAGACCTAAACCTGAAAGCTTTGTAAACTTTCCCACGGTGATTCAATAAATAAATAAATAAATAAGATTATCAGATAACAAAATAAAAAAAAAATACTCCAGCTTTTATAAAGTTCTCATTCTGCCCCAATGGCTTTTATGAAAGACTACATTAGTACTTGTTTTCACTCACCATAAAAGAGGAAGTTTGCTCTTAGTTTTAGAAAAAGTGAAAAGGAAAAATGCTTTCAGTGTTAGTTTTGTACAGTTAAAATACTGAAAATGATCCTTCCAAGTTCCTTCCCTAAGACATTTCCATAGGTCATGTTATCAGCGTTCCGGTTTTCAATGTATGTTCTTTCAAGTTCTATGTGTCATCTGGTCTGATAAGTAGGTTTTGATTTGTTTCATTGGGGTTGTTTTGTGAGTCTTGGAAGGCTCCAATTTTTTTCTACATGAATTAAGAAAAACTGCTTCTTCACATTGCACCATTTAGAATTATGAAAGATCTCACAGTAATATAGTCTCTGAGTCTTGGCCGTTGATGGCAGAGTCTCCTGAGCATCCTCCACCCAGACCCTCCAAATTCCAGTAGGCAGGGGTCACACCCACCAACTGGCCCCTGGAGCCGTGTAATCCCATCAACGGCTAAGACTCAGAGACTATAAAACCCAGCTCCCAGAAGAGAACAGCGCAGAGTCTCCTGCCCCCACGCCTGGCTGTCCTCGCCGGGGGCCCCTTGGAGGGGAGCGGGTTGAGTTTCCCTCCCCATCCCAACCAGGGTTCCAGCAGCTGAAAACCTCTGGAACCAGCCACCACCATGCTGAGACCACTCTCCACATGCATGAAGGTGCCGGCGGAGGAACAGGGGCATACGGGTCCCGGGGCTGAGATCTCCAGACCTGCTCGGATCGGGGCTGAGCATCTTCCACCCAGATCCTCCAAATTCCAGTAGGCAGGGGTAGACACCCACCAACTGGCCCCCTGGAGCCATGTAATCCCATCAACGGCCAAGACTCAGAGACTATAAAACCCAGCATTTGCGGCCGCGCAACATCTTAACATCTCATTCCTACCTTGGACCAATTGGCAGGCTACCAAATGTAACCTGCCCACACGGCAGAGTCTGGCAAACTCCCCGTGGTGTACCCAATATGCCAAACACCAGTAACAATGATGGGTCTCATTCTCCTAACCCTGAAAGCGCCTTGAATATGGCACTTTTTTAAAAAATCTCAGGGCTAGGATGAAGGAGACGTTACTGGGGCCTGCTCGAGGCAATCGACGAACAACAGGATGGTCGTGATCGTGATCTCATAGTAAATCTCTACTTTGTGTCTCCACACTCAGGAATAAAAGGAAAACAGGCCATACTTACAGGTAGAAAATACTCGGGCACCATCCATATAAGAGCTCATGAGCAATGACTTGCATAGCACTCACAAACTTCAGAGCAATAAAGAAAACTACACTGTAGCACTGTCCTCCCATTGTTCATCGATTTTCTCGAGTGGGCCCAGTAAAGTCTCCGTTGTGAGACTTGTTGTTACTGTGTTTGGCATATCAAATACGTCACGGGTAGCTTGCCAGACTTTGCCGTGCGGGCAAGATATTCTCCGTAGCTTGCTGGGCTCTCTGAGAGGGGCGGAGGAATCGAACTCGGGTCGGCCAAGTTGGCACGTGCAAGGCAAACGCCCTACTCTGTGCTTTCGCTCAAAAAGGAAGGCGAGGGGCTGAAGCGATAGCACAGCAGGTAGTTCGTTTGCCTTGCACACGGCCGACCTGGGTTCGATTCTCAGCATCCCATGTGGTCCCCCAAGCACCACCAGGAGTAACCCCTGTGCACTGTGGGGTATGACCCAAAAAAGAAAAAAAAAAGGAAGAAGAGGTAGGTTGGAGTGTAAGGATACAGTAGTTAAAGCATTTGTCTTCCAATTGACTGACCCAGGTTTAATCCCTGGCACTATACCCATACCCTTTGCCCTGCCAGGAGTGATCGCTGAGCTCAGAGCCAGAAAGAACACTTCTGAAGAGAAGACATAGAAAAGGCCAGAGGGCACAGCAACAAGTACTCTTCATCACTTTTCATCATGGAACTGCAAATCAAAATGTCAATGAGATATCACCTCATACCGGTGAGGCCAGCACATATCAAAAAGGTAGGAAGCAAGCATTGCTTGATGGGGAATATGGTAAAAAAAAGAATTAAAAAAAAAAGGGAAAAAAAGGATCCCTTGTTCACTGTTGGTGGAAATGTCATCTGGATCAGCCCCTATGACAGACAGTAAGGAGACAACGCAAAAAATTAAAATTAGAGCTTCCAGGACTGGAATGATAGCACAGAGGGTAGGTCAAATGTAAGCAGCCTACCCGGGTTCGATTCCCAGCATCCCATATGATCCCTCAGCACTGCCAGGAGTAATTCCTGAGTGCAGAGCCAGGAGTAACCCCTATGCATCGCTGGGTATGACCCAAAAAGCAAAATAAATAATAAATAAAAACAAATAAAATAAAGCTTCCATCTGACCCAGTGATTCCACTTCTTGGAAACTGCACTTAGGAGCACACAAACATTGGAAAATTGAAAATCCTGTGTGGACTGAGGTACTATTCACAATAGCCAAGGTCTGGAAACAACCCATGTGTCCAAGCGCAGATGATTGGATCAACTGTGGTATACACACAATGCATTACTGTGATGTTGTACGAAAAAAAGAAATCCTACAGTTTCCGACAACGTTGACAGGACTGAGGGAATATTGATCAGCGTCAATATGCTGGGGAAGAGGATTGGTAGAAACATTTCTCCTAGACTTCATGTGACTATGTTTGCACCTTCTTTAGCCAGAGCACTGCCGTGGGAGTAATTCAACACAAGCTGAAGACATTTTGCACAGATTGATGGGATCTGGTGCATGTGGTGACACAGAAGATGGAACAGAGACTCTCATTGGGGCTTTGTGCTATGGCATTGCCCATGCCAAAGTTCTGCTGACCCTTGGAAGTTCCTAGTAGTACTGTAGCACTGTCGTCCCGTTGTTCATCAATTTGCTTGCTCGAGCGGGCACCAGTAATGTCTCCATTGTGAGACTTATTGTTATTGTTTTTGGCATATTGAATACGCCACGGGGAGCGGGATACTCTTGGTAGCTTGTTGGATTCTCCGAGAGGGACGGAGGAATTGAACTGGGGTCGCCGCGTGCAAGGCAAACACCCTACCCGCTGTGCTATCTCTCCAGTCCTAGTATCCCCTGAAAATGTACCTTCTTTAAGCAAACAGAAAGTTTGCTTGCTGGCATCTTCTGCTACTGTCCACCCAGCTGCTCATCACTCCAGTGCTCCTCTCCCATGGCGGGTATATTATCACCTACTTTGGGAAACCTTGATCTAAACCAAATCTTCTTAAGCCTTTTCCCTTTTCTGGTGGGGCAGGGACACCTGTTGATGCTCAGGGCTTACTCCTGGCTCTGCACTAAGGGATCACTCCAGGCACTACTCAGGGGACCATTTGGGATGTTGGGAATGGAACACAGGTTGGCTGTAGGCAAGGCAAGTGCCCTACCTGCTGTATTATCACTCCGGCCCCTTAAGCTTTTCCACACAAGACTCCTTTCCGGTTTTTTTTTTATCTTTTTTATAACTTTTTATTTAAGTTATTTTTGGGGTTTGCTTAT